GGATAAAAACCTAGTGAAGGAAAAAGAGTACATCATTCATAAATATTTATTTTTTCCCCTCATGCATACAATCTTTAAGACGACGGAGTCCAATCTTGTGTATCAATTGCTCAAAAACTTTTCTTGGAAGTGACTTTGTAAAGAGATCTGCTAGGTTGTCACTTAAGCGGACTTGTTGAATATTTATATCACCATTCTTTTGAAGATCATGAGTAAAAAAGAATTTTGGTAGAATATGCTTTGTTCTATCTCCCTTTATGTATCCATTTTTCAATTGTGCAATACATGCAGTATTATCTTCATATATAACTGTCGATGTCATTTTGCCAGAAGATAAATCACAAGTTTCCCGTATGTGTTGAATCACAGATCTTAGCCAAACACATTCACGACTTGCCTCATGTAATGCTAAAATTTTAGCATGATTATTGGTCGACCAGGGTCTTGCGAACCTCCCAATTGCTAATGCCACGGCGATAACCATGGGATCATCCTGGTTGGGGTTGACCCCGGTATAGTCATCGTCGGTGAAAGTGATCGTCGGCGAGCTCTGGTGCGAAGTAGAGGTGGTGAATTGTACGCGATTAACGTTGCGTAGGTGTTTTTTCCGGGCCGAGCTGCTGGCTCCCCCTCCTGCGAAACCTCCTGCAATTGTGCTGATCATTCCCTGTGGGGGAGTTGATCCTGCTTCCTGGTTTACCTCGGCTTGCACTGCTCTGCCGGGGTTGGGTTGAGAGCCGGAGGGATGATCAGAGTGTTGCCGCTGGGGTTGAGCGCGAATCCTCTTGTTTTCCGCGCGTAGAGCTGCTAGGTCAGCCTCATTAGCGGTCCGTATTGAGGCTAGATCAGTGTCGTGCTGGGTACGCATGCTTTGCAGATCGGCGGCGTGTTGCTGCCGCATCTGTTCGACCTGATCGATTAGTCTCCTCAATGCTGCTTCGTTATCCATGGTAGTTGAGTGGTTTGCGTTGTCTGTCGTGCGTCTACTATGGCTTCTGGTGAAAACCATAGGCGTGGCCGATAAGAGCTGTCTTGTTCGGCCCCACGGTGGGCGCCAAATGTTCTTACCGGAAATCTGTTGTAGAGCTGATCCGCCAGGTAAGATCGGTGAGCCTCCTTCACTAGTACGCTGGTGCTCCAAGATGGGGGTGGTACCTGCAAAAGAGACTCCGATGCTAAAGTTAGTGTTTGTGGGAGTACGAATCTAGTATATGTAATGCACGTACCTTAGTGTGAGTTAGGGTTGTTTTGGACCTTGGGCCTGAGATGAGACATGATAAGATTAGATAAGGAATCTCGTCCGGGGTGGGATCCTTTGAGATCGGTTATGATCTGCTATAATGTCGAGCTGACGTCGCGTAGCGCGTGCCCGAGGTCATCTCGTGCTGCGATGCCGAGCTTTCGAGCTCAGAGCTCAGCTGCACCGTACGAACAGTACAATATATAATTATGAAGTTATTCAAATAATGCAAGTCATTCAAACATCTAATAATGATTAACTTTGTCTAGGGAATAATGTCATTAAATTATTAACCATTACACATGCTTAATTGTATATAAAAATATGATTTTTACTAATTAATATATATATATATATATATATATATTATCATTAAATAATTATATTATATTATATATATATATA